AAGAAAGAAAAAGAAAAAGGAAAGGAGGAAAGGCAAAGGAAGGAAAGAAAAAAGGAAGAAATAGGGCAAGTGTAAAACTGCGTTTGCTTGCTCACTAGAAGCCAATGGGACTTTTGGGACACCAGTGTAATAATCTCTGTAGTACTCAATAAATATTACTAGTGGATGAATGGATTTTATTAAAAAATCCATCAAGGTAGGTTTTGGTAAACCAGTGAAGATCTTTGAAAATGATTTCTATTTTGTTTCTGATTTCTCAACCCCTAAGTAATCTCTAGTAAGAAGAAAAAGGAGCTACTGTTCATCTAGTGTCCCCTGTGTTCCAGGTACCAGGCTAACTGCTTTCACATGAAACTTCATTTAATCATTATAATAGCACAATCAGGTATGTGCTATTATCACCTTCAGTTTAACAGGAAACAATGGCTTGGTAGAGTTCACAGACTTGCCCAAGTTCACAAAATTAGGAGGCAGCAGAGCCGAGACTGGACCAGACTGGGCCTTCTCACTTCTAAATTCAGACTCTTCCCAGGACACTCCATTGCCCTGAAAAATTAGTGATGAAGACAATTTTGAAACGTCCTATCACACCCTGGGTGTGCATGGCATTTAAAAATCTTACTGCTTGTTCTTTTCAGTTCCTGGCACAGGGACAGTTATTTGTGTAGCACAATTGTTATTATTGTGCAGCCTCACATATTCTTTCTGCCCTGGGCAAACATGAACAATAATGGGCTATATTTATGCAACCAATAGCTTGGAAGCATGAGCTCCAGATTATCACTACAATTGTAGTTCAAGTTTTTTTTATTGTTGTTGTTGTTGCTTAGCACCATTTATATGGAAGGCCTTTCTCAAAGTCTCATGCAAATAAACTGGTTCTTTGTATATTCAGAGAACTCCTCAGTTTTTTTTTCTCCCATAGTTTCAATCAAGCATCCTGTATTTCTAAATGCTGACATTACAGATGTGCCTTGTTCATGAAGAGATGATAGGACAGTCACTTCTAAAGTTGGAATATAAAGAAATAAAAGTAGCTGTGGTGTCCCTGAAGGGTGGGTTGGGGAGAAGGAGTGGGTGTTAGAGTAGGATAGAAAGATGGAAAGATAGGCCCATGACAAAGCTGTTCATGGTCTAAGTGCTCTTCTTCAGGATCGTCTTGGGTTTAGGGTTATTATAATCTTCAGCTTTCCGTGGTCAAAGCATCATTTTAACAAGGCTTCTTGGAGGTGATCAATATCTACAGGGTACCAGCAACACGCCCTAGTAAAAAGCACATTTGAGGTGGAAGACCTATGTATAATGTCTACCTTTGTCAGTATGGATTTGGACAAATTGCTCTTCTATAAAATAAAAATAATAATCCCTATAGGGTTGTTGTGAGGATTAAATGAAATAAGTTCACATATCTGCAAAACTTACTTTGTAATTGGAGAGTTGTCTGATGGGTAGAGTTAAACGGTGATCTTGAAGAATGGTATCTTTATAGCTACTTATTAGGCATCTATTCCAGTCAAGGCTCTTTGATAAAACATTTATGCATGATTTGTAGTCCTTTTATCATCCCTACAAGTGGGTATTAATATCTCCAATGTACATATGAGGAATATGAAGCTTAGAGACCCAAAGACATTAAGTTGCCCTAGGAAAAACAGGTAAGCCTGTTTGTCTGCTCCATAATGCTCATTCTTGTTACAATGAATTAGATCACAACATATCTTCCAGTAGCTACATTTTACTCTCCTAAAATAGATTTGGGATATGACCCAGTGCTTTGATGAGATCTGGGACAGGCATTTGCAAACTGTCATTGGTGTGTCATTAAAAAAAAATATCCAGTCTCAGAAGTTCTAGGCCTTTTTGGGAGTTTGGACCATCATTCTCATCCTCCATTACATGTCAAGTTTTAAATTTAAACCGGAACTGATGAATAGAAAAGGAAGCCAGTAAAAATTATTGGTGGTCTGGAAAGGGGCCTGGGGAAACTCCCATGTAATGATTTTTAGCTTGTCTTCCCTTGCCGAGGGCTCTGATTATCATTATTATTATTTTAAAAGACTCAAACCTGCTTTACATTGCCCTTGCTTAAACAAGTTATTTATAAAATATCTGTTCTTTGGTTTTCACATCTGTAGAATGGGGATAAAATGAAGATGCAAGTAATGACTACACGTGAGACTATGCATTTAGTTCATTTCAATAAACTTTTATCATGTATTCATCTCTAGGAGTTGTGCTAAATGCTATATGTAAAAACATAAACTGTGAAATGCAATACTAAAAAAATACAATGTGTTGGTTTTGATTTACTATAAACCACACAGTGATTATAACAGTAATAATTCCTTATATATCCTCCACATTTTCCACATTGATTTGCTCATTATTTTTTTTAAGTTTATTTATTGAGAGAAAGAGAGAGAGAGAGAGAGAGAAAGAGAGAGAGAGAAAGAGAGAATCCCAAGCAGTCTCTGCACTGTCAGTGAGGAGCTGGATATGGGGCTTGAAATCACAAACTCTGAGATTATGACCTGAGCCAAAACTAAGAGTTGGCCACTTAAAGGACTGAGCCACCTCAGGTGCCCCTGATCTGCTCATTTTTATATATGAGAAGCTGAGGCTCAATAAAGGTTAAATGGTTTGTTTGAGGCCACACATGAAATGATTCCAATATGCTCCTTATTATCCCAACTGCCTTCTAGAAAACTCTATACATGAGGAATTCTACTCTATTCAAACAAGAATATTATCTTGTATTTCATATCATTTGGAGGAACCTCTTTGAATAGCAAGTGAATTTGTGTTTCCCATGGTAATTCACTCCATGGATTTCAGACTTCTTAACCCACATCTACATCTACAACTACCTACATCTATAGAGATTTTCATATATGCTATCTTATTCATCCTCACAACAATCCTAAGATTGTACAGCTAGTAAATGGTGGAGCCAGAATTGTAACCTGGATGTTTCTGATATATAAGCCCTGTTTATTCTGCTATGCTATACTGCTTTGGTTATTAGCTGTATAACTTTGGGCAAGTCATTTAACCCCCGTTCCTTCATTTACCACATCTATAAAGTGGGTTCATGCCTTTTAGGGTTGTTGTGAAGCTCAAATGTGATAATGTAAAATAGAAGAGTCAAATAGAAACATCAGTTGTGGTTATAGCTGACAAATGTACCAAGGTAGAATAGTTTAAAACAGTATCTCCCCTTCTCCCTTGAGTTAAAAAGAATAACAGCAAAAAGAGACCAAAGGAGACTGTTGAATAAGTGGTTGTCTACCAGACCTGCATGACTAGCTCCTTATGGCTGCACCTTGTAAAAAGGGGGTGGAGTAGAGTTAGGAGTTTCTGGGGGCATTTCTGGGATGGTTTGCCTATGGTGGCAAAGGTCTAAAAATTTAGGTGAGGCTTACTCCGTCATATGGGTCTTGTTCAGTTGGCTCTCCTAGTAGGTCAAATGGGGACTGCAATGATAATGGTTAAAAGGACATGGGCCTGATAGAGTTGTGGTTTGTTGATGTGGGAAGCCACCATGACTGAGAAAGGAAGACCAATTCTGGGCAAAAACATTTATTGAGGCCTACTCTGTGGTAAGCTAAACTGCGAATGGGATGTAGTAATGAGTCAGCCCCCTGTCCTCAAGGATTTTATAGTGTAGTGGGGTACAGAAAAACAAGGCAGAATATAAAAAGGATTATATCAGAGCAACTAGGAGGTAAGGTAGTTGTTCCCATAAATATTCTTAAAGTAGGTGGTGTATAAGCCAAGTCTTTAAAGATCAGGGTTTCTAGGAACTGGTTGGTAATTCCAACTGAAGATGGCAGTATGAGATAGTGTAGGATGCATTATGTTTAACACAGGTGGGAACAAAGGTCTTTACTGAGTACATGCTATATGCTAGGGTCTGATGATATACAGATATATCATAAACACTCCTTGCCATTGAGGAGCTCTCAGTCTAGAGGGGTAGACAGATGTAAAGAACCATTAGAGTGATAATGACTTCACAAGGCAGAGAAGGAATGTTAAGGAAGAGTGTGTAACTCTGACTTGGGGAGGTCAGGAGATGCTTTGCAAAGGGGAAGATACTTGAGCAAGTGCTGAGAAAGTAGAAGTTTGCCAGGTGGACAATGGGAGGAGTTAGGCATGATGCAGGCACCTGAGCAGGTCCCAGGGCTCTTTTATAAAACCGTATACGTGTGGCAGGCAGCAAGCAGGCAAGAAAATTATTCCTCCACCCCTCCCACTTGGGTTTTGGCTCCTGGAGGGAATGACTTAAAAGTCTTCTTTCTCTCTCTCTCTCTTTCTTTTTCTCTCTCTTTCTTTTAAATTTTAAAGTTCATTATTTATTTTTTGAGAGAGAGACAGTGAGTGTATGGAAGGGGCAGAGAGAGAGGAGAGTGAATCCCAAGCAGTCTCTGAACTGCCAGCGCAAGGAGCCTGGTATGGGGCTTGAACGCGTGAACTCATGAACTCAGGATTTGAACTGAAATCAAGAGTCAGATGTTTAACCGACTTAGTCACCCAAGTGCCCCAAAAGTCTTCTTTTTCAGTATTGCACCCTAATAGCAGCTGGTTAAATGAAAGTTTTTGGAGTTAGACCTGGATTCTAATCTGACTCTCTAATCAGCTGTATGACCTTAGGTAAAACACTTATTTGTGTTTCAGTTTCCTCATTTATACGATTTATTTGTGTCTCAGTTCCTTCTATTCATACCCTTGAAAGATAAAGTGTCTAGCACGGAGTCTAGCATATATGAAGTCCCGTTATTTCTATCTTGATCTCACCAGCCCAAAGCCTACACGGCCCGTCCGCCTTACTTTTATATCCGCACCGGGTTTTCTCGGGCGGTCCCGTGCGTGGGGGTGGGGTGGGGATGTGTAAAGCTCCCGTCCGGCAGCGCAAACTCCGGCGCCAGGATTTGGGCGCTGCCGCGCCGGCGCCGGGCGGGCGGGGCCAGGCGGGGCGGGGCGGGCAAGAGGAGGGAAGTTGTCGAAGTTAGGGGAGACGCCCGCCCGCCTGCCCGGGCCTCGCCTCTGACCGCTCCCTCCGCCTCCTCCCCGCCCGGAGCCCCAGTTCGCCCGTCCTTCCTTCCCCTCCCGTGCATGATGGAAACACCATGGCTGCGGCGGCCCAGCTCTCCTTGACACAGGTAACGCCGCCCGCCGGTCCGGCTCAGTCGGTCGGTGTCCCCAACCCGACCCCCTCCCCCACCGTCCTGTGGTTCACCGACCCGGGCAGTTTTTCTCGCCCCGGGCGGGGTGGCCGATAGTGAGAGAGAGAGAGAGAGCGTGTGTATCGTGCGAGTGTGAGACACTGTGACTGAGGGAGGGCGCCATCCCGAGCCAGCAGCTCCGCCGCTGCAGCCTTGGCTCCGCCCCACAACCCCCCCCCCCCCCCCCCCCCCCCCCCGCCGAGCCGGGTCCCGCCGCCACTACGTCCCACAGCTGAGTGGACAGTGCCCCCTTCCCTGCTCAGCTGCCGTCTGGCCCCTCTCACTCCACGCAGCTTTCACCCAGCCAGGAAGTTTCCTCCTTCCAGGCCGGACGCGCTCCAGGTGAGCTCCTGTTGAGCTCGCGCGGATCAGCCTCACCCCCTGGTCAGCCCTCGCCCCGCACGAGGTTGGGCCATGCAGAGCGCTTCTCGTAGTTAATAATCACCTTCCAGACCTAGACGCTCAGGGTCCCCTCTAAGCCTGTCTTTCCTCTCGAAACTGGCCCTTTCCCCGTGGAGTCCAGTGAAAGAAAGTCCTCCCTTCCCCAGCAGTTTCTGATAGTCCGTCTCTCTTCCAAGTTAAGTCTTCTTCTCCCCAAGTACTTATTACCCTGCTAGCCTGTTCCTGAACTCAGCCTCTTCCCCTCCTGATCAGGTTTCCTTCTGGGTCAGACCCCCCAGTTATGTCTCTTCCTGCTTCCACTCTAACCGGGTGGGCTTTCACTTAATCGTTGCCCACATGGATAACAGGGAAACATCCTTTTACAGGTGTGATGGTTCCACCAGTCTTGGTGCTGGGAATGACTATTGAGATCACTCATTACGCGGGAGAGAACCTGTTCTCTGGGTCTTTCCTCTTGTCTTTCTGTTTCCTGTAGAGCCCAGTCCTCTTGCTTCCCAGAAAACCTTGTGCTTCAACATCATTCACTCTGGGAGCCTTGTTCCTCCCTGTCTGTAAAGAGAGCCGATTGTAATCTCATGATGTTCAGGATGATGAGGTGACATGCACCTGTCAGTCCCTTCCTGCTCCTCTGACCAAAACTCACCCTCAACCTCAAATTCTCAGTTTGTTTTCTACAAAGCTGGTGACCATGTACTTCCCCGTAGAGGCCCACCACAGCCTTCCTTCCTGCCTTATATCTCCCTGCTACCTTGTAGTCTCCTTGGCCTAGATTTGTTAGTGCTTATACATTTGGGCCGAGGAGTTTCCTGTGTTGGAGCAAAAGGCTTTGGAGTGTATCACTTAGCACTCTGGGATAGAGAAACTGAGTGAATAATGTTTTCTCCCCCAGGAACCTGGAGTCACCTATAAACAGGTCCCTCAGGTAAAATAACTAACTTCAATTTGCAGGATTTCTCAGTTTCATAACCGAAGTCTGTTTGTTTCCCAGTTTTCTTGGTGTTGCTTATTGTATTTTGACAAGCAGATGACAGAGAAGAATCCTTGGAATGTGGCAGTTTAGTTTTGGTGGTGAATCTCTTCGGAAGGGTCGTCCTGAAACTCAAATATGAGTAGTGGCAACATTGACTTTTGGGTGTTCACTTTTTGTGAGTCTAGTTAGTGACTTGCATTATACGAGATCCCATTGGCCAAGCTCTTGCTCTCTGGCTGTGTTGGCCAAATGAGGCAGGAGTTTTCCTCTCTTGAAGTTTTTGTTTTCTTGAAGTCTTCTATAGATTTGTTTCTTAGTTGTGTACATACTTTATTCTCTCCCTGGGTAATACTATGTTTTTTAGTTTCTGTTTACTATCATTCATCTCTGGAAATTTTCTTCAGGCTCTGTCAGTTTTATAGACAGTTAAATAATTTAAATATGTTCTTGTGGTTATGTATTTAAATATTAACATGTAATACTGATTCAGTATTACCCTTCAGTGTCTCACATATGAGAGAATGTACATAGATGGTTCATTTATATTGAAAATTCAAATTAAATCAGGTTAGAATATTTTGATTTTAAGACATTAAGAAGCAATAAGATACATGTAAAGGGATATGAAAAAGAACCTAAGTGTTAATATACCCTAATGTGCCTCCTTGTTATTTTAAAACTTTTCTAATTTGTATTTTTTCGATTTAAGTTTTTAATTGCTTGAAGCAAATAAACTAAGGTAATCAGCCTGGTCTCACATTCATTATTGATCTATTTGTGTCACACTCCTCCCCCTCCCCCCAACACACACACTTAGACACAGGCATGCTCAAGAGAGAAATCCTCCAGGGCAGGGACATCTTTTAATTCATCTCTCTTCCTTTGCCCATCTGGAAGAAAGTGATTAAAAACTGTCTTATGAATGACTGCAAATTTTAAAGAGCTCTGTTAATCTGTTAAAAGATTAAACAGATGTTGAAGTTAGTTTCTGTCCCTGGTCATGAGATAATAGTGGTTTTGGAGTAGGTTCTTTCTTTAAACAAATATTTGTTAAGTACCTATTATGTGCTAGGCACTATGCTAGGATAGTCTTGTTTATAGTATTTTGCCTTTATCAGTTAAGCAAAGCTGACAGTTTGGGGGGAAAATGTGAAAAATATTTTAATTTACTCCTTCCTTCCTCTTTCCCTGCCTGACAGCCAACCTGCCAACTCCCCAACCACCAAAATAAATCATCTAAATTATCATATTTTAGCTTCTAGAGAGGATAGAATACTAGAATAATGAAATGTTAGTTCCAGTCTTAGATATGCCAGGAGCTAACTCTGTGGCATTGAGTTAGGCCTCCAGGGCCTTGATTTTCTTAATTTTAAGAGTCACTCAACAAAAAGTTGTTGAGTATTCACTGTGTGCTAGAAATTATTCTAGGTACTGCAGCTATACTAAGGAACAAAATAGATAACAATTCCTGGAGACAAAACATGGAACTTACATTCTAGTAGGGGAGTTTGAATTAGCTGATTTAAGGACCTTTCCCACTAATATTCTTTTTTATAAATCATATTCTATGATTTATAGCCCTAGTGGAACTTTCCAAGGGTACTTTCGTGTTGTATAGCTTTAGTGTTTTCTAATTTCAGTTGTCTTCACTAGATATTATAGTTTATTCTATAAAGGAAGTAAAACTTGAGTGAGAGAGATCTTGTGATTTTTGCTTGTGGTGATAGATTACAAAAAAGATATTAATACTTTCTTTAAGCTTTTCCAATTGCCCATTTCTTCCTCAAGCCTGTATCCTTAATAATACTATCAGTCTTTCTTACTATATGTAAGGAATATTTTTTTACTGTATATGCAAGGGTGTTACTATATGCAAGTTTTACTTCATTTAACAGTCAGTTTTACAAATGAGGGAAGTAATTTACATGAGCTATTATGTGGTAGATCTGAGATTTGAACCAGGGATTTCAAAAGCTATTTTACTCTTCTCTGTGTACTAGATGCTTGGCATATCCAGTGCTCCCTTGTATTTTTGATGCTCTTTTTCACTAAATGTCCTTTTGTCCTAATTAGATAGTAAACTTCTTGAGGCTGGAAGCCATGTCTTTTGCTTCTGAATCTCCAGTGTTTTTTTATGGTATGTAGACAGTATAATTATGGGTATACAAGCGGTGTTCTTGATGATGATAAAAAGTGTTATTTTATTGAAATATGACATGATATGAGTTTTTTTAATGATCTTCCAGCAGTTCAGCTTTATGCTGAAATTTTCTTGTTTAATTTAGCAAGAATTCTCTTTTTAATAATAAAAAAATCCTTAGGGCGCTCCTGACTGGCTAAGTAAGTCAGTAGAGCATATGACTCTTTATCTTGGGGTTGTGAGTTCGAGACCCAGGCTGGGAGTGGAGGTTACTTAAAAAAAAAAAAAAAAATAGAATCTTTAAAAAAAATTTAGATGTAATGAATTATATTGGGGTGCCTGGGTTGCTCAAGTAAGTTAAGCATTGGGCTCTTGATTTTGGCTCAGGTCATGATCTCACGATTTGTGAGATTAATCCCTGTGTTAGGCTCCTGCTATGCTTGGGATTCTTTCCTTCCTCTCTCTCTCTCTGTCCCTCTCCTGTGTGTGCACTCTCTCTCACAAGATAAATAAATAAACATTAAAAAAAAAAACAATAAAGAAGCCCTTAGAATGGGACTTAATTGAAAAGAATCTTAGTAAATGGTCTAAGACAATAAATGCTCTAAGAATACTCTTCCCCTTAATGCTTTTTTTTTTTTTTAATTGCAAGAGTGATAATAACCGCATTATAGAAACTTTGGAAGTTGGAGGAAAAAAATCTCTCATAATTTCATAGTTGGTGGTGTTTGTTTTCAATTTCATTAAAGAAAAATACATGATATGTGTTAATAAATGTGTCATCTTAGTGGTTTAACAGTTATGACAGTAAATATCAGGTCAGAGTATAAAAATTACAACATGTTCTCAGAAGCAGAAAGAGTGTTTATTTAACATGACATATTGCTTGAGTTCCGACTATGGGAAGGGCACAATAATGATATTTTTCTCCTGTGCCTGAAATTATAGTCCAGTATACTCAGGAAATCCATACTTCTTTGAGTGATAGTCAGCCATTCTCAAAAATGGCTTGGAATGTTCAGCATTTGGGAGGAGTTGTCATAGTTAAAATTAATTAGGAACAGTTGGATTGGCCCAATACAGAGTATCCCAGGAGTAACCTAAGAGTATATTCCTTTGTTTTCACTCTGTTTGCAGACAGAACAATAATGCGGTAAAATGTAGTAGAAAAAGATTGAGCATCTTTATTTAGTAACAAATCATAGTTCTAATCTCCTTTCTAACTAATAGTCTGATTTAAGGACTCAATCTAAGGTGTTTTATTTACTTACTCTTCAAGGAATTAAACACAGTTATATACTTCTTTGTTTTGTGAGTTTTTCACTTAATATTGGAACTTCGGAAACCAGAAGCAGGAAAATGGGTTGAGTGAGAGAGAGAATGAGAGAAAAAGAAATATCTGGTTACTTGGAGAATTGGTAGAAA